GGAGAGAAAAAAAATGTTTCTTTTCATTATACTAAAAATATGATAAAACACAATGTATTCACTTTTCAAAATGACAGTGAAACATAAATTGAAAAACAACAAAACTCGTCCCAGTTTAACGCCAATATATTTCAATTGACTGGAGGGTATTAAATTTTAATAATTTATTTACATGTATAAATGTCAAATAATCCTGTTTTATCACATGGTCAAAGATTGAAAAATTGGGTTTACAGTAAAAAGGTAATACTTTTTCATTTGACGCCACTTTATTGTAACGCTATTCTATTCATTTCCCTCTTTAAAACCCATATGATAACCGGCCCAAAGGGGGCGTACATCAAAAATATTACCCTTTCCGTGGGAATATAATTTTTTAAAAACAAACAAAAAAACGGATGTGTTGACTATGTGATAAAGTTATGTTAAAACCCCTGAAACATTTACTTTGTTTTAACAGCTACGTTTAAAACTGACAGAATTCTTTAATTTTTTATTAAAAAATACAGGGAAATATAAACCCAAAAGAAAAAAAATAAAAGGCGTAAGAAAATTTCATAAGGTGACCCCCCAAAATGGGGGTCACACAAAATAAAACCAAACCCAGATACTTTATAAACGTGTGACCCCTTTAAATTTTCTCTGCATGGAAATAATTTGGGTGTGTTGCCTTTTTTATTCTGAAGAAAATTTATTTAAAATTTAAAGACAAAAAAGGAAATTTTTAAAAAAATGCAAAAGGGAAATTTGGGGTGCACGTAATTTTATCAGTCTTCTGCATATAAATAGTTTACGGCAATAAACTTTGATGTGTTTTTTTAAATATATAGTTGAAACATAATACATACACAATAAGCTTAAACTTCTTTTAAAGCAAACATAGACTCACTGAAGATGCAGAAACAGATATTACATCAATCGGAACATGTCGACAATGTTTCATAAATACACATAGTTTTATCCGAAGAATGACGGGAAAGGCCGAAAAGTTAGAGTAAAAAGTTACAGATATTTTATAACATTCAAGACTTTCTAAATAAAGAAGTAACAAAATCATTGCATTTTGCCACTTATAACTATCAAAATTCAAATGTCTAGAAAAATATCAAATAAAAAATTACAGCATGTTTAGGACACAACAAATATTTCCTTACAATCTCATTCATCATAACATTTAAAAACTTGTCTCTTCTCAAATACATCAGCAACCTCGATTATTTTCATAATAACTAATGACTAGCCTTACGTTTCAATGTGGAAATGAAACACTAACAAGTCAATATTATGTAAAGCGATTGTCAAGATATGAAATATTTCACCTATCTATGGTATTATTCTATCTATTTTATCTTATCACAATCATGCCTTACATGAATATGTTGTGTCAGCGGCTTTTTAAAGGCACATTGTGACTCAGAAATGAATAATATTTACCTTTTTTTTAAAGATCAAAGATGTTTTTATATGTTTTAAATAATGGTTTAAAGCATATTAGATGTTTGTTACCTAAACAAAAGACCGGTAAATGTACTAATATGTTGATGTAGCAATGAAAACAAAGTAATGAAAATAAGTAATATTTTGACTTCCATACAAATTACTAAGTTATTATATATGTACGTATTGCCTGAAAGTAACAGAAGAAAACCAATGAGTAACTTGTTTGAAACTAAAAAATATTTTGAGAAATAAAAATGAAAGTATTGCATTTCGGGTACATAAAGGGGCCTTTAAAAGTATACTATTCACGATGACGTCAGCGGTCTGAAAAAAAGTGCCGTCTGAACGAGGACTATTATAATGTGTAACGGTGAGGAAAATAAAAAAGCGCACGTAATATAAGCTGAATGCCAATAATTTTCATTGAATTTTAAAAGAATTTTTGTCATTTAAACAATATGATTTCCAACTTTTACAATAATGTAATATTAAATAAGAAATAACTCAATGTATAACTCAATGTATATCGGACCTCTTAGCATTTTACTTACCTCCCAGTCGGCCTGAAAAATCAAACGAACCTTAGCCTTCCGCTTCAGTCAGGCTGACTGAGTGGTCGACTATAATGCTATGAAGCCGTGGATTGTTGTTTATAGCTATCTTTTCTTCAAATAACAACGTAACAATATAATTACATGCTAAACATTGCATCAATAAACAACATGTACTATCAATTATGTGTAACTGTGTCTTATATATCACATTATATATTATTAGTTATTATTAATTATATTAGATAATTCACAATATCAGGGAAAAAACCGTTTGTAAGAACTTGTGGTTCAACCCCTGTTTCCTACTTTAGTTGTTTATATTTTGATAATACTAACGTATAACATGTGTACAAAAAGAGCAAATTAAAATTATGTTTAAAATCAATAACGTAATGTGAATTACAATGAATTACTTTCCAAGTTTAATTGTACTTCACTGGATAGACAATACCATTTGTGAAGAAAAATCTCTACAATAAAAGTACTTCACTCATGTTCTCCAATTGTTCAGAGCCCGTGCGAAATAAGCAGAATGCCTAAACAACAAAGTTTTAGCGAAGTCCATATTTCTTCTATCAGACACTAGCCGTCCCTGTGTATCCAGACGCAGTTTCATCTAATTGTCTCTGGGTTTTGCCAGCATCTGCAAGATACCTCTCCCCATGTTTGAAACACCAAACTTCTGACATTGTAAAATGCCTTGCGTAACTTAATACCACACAGAACAAGCAATAGTGTGAGCACATAGCACAACAAACACGTTCTCCAGCCCACGACATTTGCAATTACTCCTAAGCTTCAAATATCTCAGCAGAAATTGCTTATCCATTAGAACAGATATTTCCTTTCGGATGACGTGTGCCGCCGACTTGGATCCAGTACCCGGCGATCAAATCAGACATCATCATAATGTGGACATGGGATTTTCCAACAGTTTCCATCTAAATGTTCTGTAATATAAACTCGCATGCATTTTCTGAAGTTGATAACGCCACACTGTCAAACGATCTCAAACTGTTTCTTTCCATTTTAAGACTTTGGAAAAACTTTCACAAAATGATGAGTCGTCCACAGCGTTTTCCCATTTTTTAAAGCTGATCTCTCTTCAAGATTATTATCTTCAACATAAGGATTTCAATACTGTTTTGCGTTTGGATGGATAATGCACGCATCTTTGAGGCCAAACGTGAACATCGTCACTCACTATCAGCATTGGCAAAGTGTGTTTTAAAATACTTGTTTACATCACCTTGCGGCATAACTATTCTTTATGTAGTCACCAATTATGGAATTTTGATTAGTTGGGAGAACATAAAGATTAAAATTTTCCAACTCTTAATTTTCCCGGTGCATTTGCCGAAATATCTAGAACCCAGCGGGAATTCTGTAAAAGTTACGAGAGGAACAAGCAAAATATAACATACTGTATATTCAGTTTGATATTACAGTGCGCCATATATGTAAATTTCTAAGAAGCAGTAGAACTAAAGTATTCGCCTTTTTTTAAAATGTCAGAAAGTGTGCCCAAAAACATTCACTTCAGTAGAACCAACAACATTTAAATATTCTAGTAAATTAATAGATATTAATGGATCAATCAATCTTAAACAGAACACGGATTACTACATATAACTTGGGGTAAGCGGTCATTTTTGAACTTTAACAACACCAAATATAAGACTCTAGAAATAAACCTGTTGTTCCTCATTTTAGATCCTAATGTAATACCAGTCTTTACTTATAATCTGAAGAGGATAAATTTTACGATTTTTAAAGTACATTTATTTTTTAAACAGAATACCTTGTTTACAAATCTTTACTAATTGTTGCATTCCATCGCAAGTCATCCTGCTTTTTGGCCCCTTGGGATTACAAAATTGAAGGGCATTTCACCCCTAATGCGCTAAATCTTGTAAAAGTTCAAAGAGAATCACGGAAACCTCTATCGACAACGAAAAATATCATCCTCCTGAATAAAGTCACTTATCTCTTCAGTATTTGTTTTCAACATAATGATTCAGGATAGAAGCATCATTGTTCCTCTTTGAAATCAGCAAAATAAGGGCCCATCACTGTAACAAAGTATCCGGTTGTTGTGACAATAACCATGGGCTTCACTAATGGACGAACTTTGTGCATTGAATATGAACGTCTTTGAAAGCTAAAATTATTACTTTTCTGCAATATAACATAAGTTCCATCAAGAACTAAAATAACTTTCCCATCATTTGCATCAAAAAGAGACTTGGCTAACGGTCTACGTGTGATGGTTTTATAATATCTTCCCTTGTTATGCTTTCAAAACCAAGATATATAACGGCACAAATCCTCTCATCATCGCATGTTTTGTGGCAACAATCGCTCTTCCGTACACTTGACTTGCTAATTCCAAATAGAGTAGACAAAAGCTTTATTAGAACAAGCCCCGATTTCATCTTCAGGGAGAAAAATACCGAGAGTTGTTCTGGGAAAACACAACAAAGAACGTGGATGGAGAGTTTATAAATTTTGTCGGCAAACATGACGAAAACACATCATCAAAACCTGAGAACGTGAAAGCCCTGTCAAGTTTTTCATATTCTTACGTTCGTTTAAGACATCAAAACTCCCAAAATTTGTTTTGTTTGTAAGCAGCATATTTCTCTCTTAAATGTTTTTATAAGTTTTAAGTGGACAGATGTCCTTTTTAGGAATGCTGTTCTATTATCGGCACATTCTCTAAGGGAATCTGAACAAAGCAGGCCTGTATGTGTACTGGACAGCACCTAGAACCAGCAGGTATGAGTATGTTTTGTTCTATAAACACATTGAATCTGGCCTCTGAAGACAAAACAACTAATTTTGGCCCAGGTCTTTTGCAGACTAAACATCTTGAATGTGTTTTACTGGTAGTTTTTATATTTAATGATACTGATGGCGGACTAGTCGGTGTTTTTGTTCCTTTTAATTGAGAAGTTGAAACAGATGGAACATAATCTGGATCTGACTGGTAAAAAGTGGTTGCTGTCTTTTCTTGTAAAAGATGATGATTCTAATGCATAGTATTTATGTCTACATTTGTTACAAATTATTTCATTGTCTTTAACATCAACAAATAACCGTTTTTGAAGATATTTTCTTATAGGTCTGCTTATGTGTCTTCTTTCTTTTGGTTTAGTTCTTTTCTTGCACACTGCACAGGCATAAAACTTTGGACCCGATCCAGGCATCCTGAAAAAAGTACTTAGTACATCAATGATTTGACAGAAAAATATTTCCTCCAGTATTTTGGTTTTATTAAGTAACAATAAACTTTTTTTTCACTCATTAAATAAATAATGAGCCTCATTACGTTCCTTTTGGATCCCGGCTCTTATACTGGAAGAAGAAGAAATAATAAACTTTCATTTAATACTTAATAATTATGTTTTTCAATCATTAAATTAATAATGATTTAAATAATAAACTGTCATTTAATACTTACAAAAAAAAAGATTTTAAAAAAATGTACCTCGTTTAGGGGTCGAACCACCAGCCGGAACTGATCAGCCATATATAAAACATTTATGCGCCGGGCATGTACACCACTACGCCATCGCCACAACTGTAATTAAAATGTTTTACATTTACTACTTAAAGTCGATACGTGACTAAATATAAGTAAACGGATGGGATGCTTTAAATTAAATATTCTATCTCGTTCGACGCAGATTTCAATTTGTTATTCCGGCAATTGCCTGATAAATATATACATTACCTTCACACTTATTCTAACTCTATTTAATACTGAGCTCTACTTAGATAATGTTCGACTTTAAATTATGCAGACGAAACACTGATTTTGACAATTTCATGGATAAAATTATACTTACTTGGAAACTCCCTGTCACGGTTATCACAAAGTCATATCTGGACTGGAATATATTCCTAGATCCGAGAATAAATCCTCGCAAAATAAACAAACAAACTGTTTAAAACCCTGTCAGCGTTACAGTGGTAAAGATTTACTAGGTAAAGTGTAAACAATGGCTTTGTTGTTGTTGTCGTCGTTGTCGTCATCATCCGCTTGATTTTCACTTTTCATTCAATAAGTTAACAAAAACAAACAAAAAAGAAGACACATTTTATTTGACTAATAATTATTGCTTTCGATCTCAATGCTTGACCGCAAAAACAAGTAATAATTTATAAAAATACAGCTAAAATATTTGATGATCTATGCATTCGATTTGCTTTTGCACAGACACCAGGGGAAGGAAAATATAAATTTTCGTAAAGGGCACAGGCCTCGACCAAAATTATTGATATGTTTTTGTAAATTATAAATACTCACAATGACAATGACGTATTTTGTTTTTTGGTCGAGACCTGTGCCCTATTCAAATTTTTCAATTTATTGTCGAAAACTGATACATAATACCGGAAAACGGGTTTTAGCCCTTACTTTAAGCGTATTTTATTACACGGAACAGACGTATTATCTTTACTGTTTTTCATTTATATCAACAAGCGAAAGATGTTCTTCCATAAAATTGTTTCATTTCTTGAAAATTTGAAGTTTTATAAAATACAAAATATTTAGGCATATTTCATGCATAAGCGAATCTAGTCTTTTATACATGTTTGGCCAATGACAATATATAGGTTTAAAAAATTTTATTCTAAGCTCTCTATAGTGTGGACACACAAGCAGAAAGTGGTATTCATTTTCAATTTGTCTCATGTTACATGATTTACATATTCGATCTTCACGTAGGGTATTATCATATCTTCCTGTTTCAATAAAAAGATTGTGTGAAGAGGTTCTAAACCTAGTAAGTGCTACTCTAAATTTATTTTCATGTATGGAGTCTAAATATAATTCCCTAACAAAATTGTTTTTAAATAGACAATAAGTTTGTAATCTTGAAGAATTATTAATTTCGGTATACCACTTCTGCATATATGTGTCCAATAATCTTTGTTTTATAGAGTTAATCGGAATTTCAATATCAAATTGGTTATCCCAGACATACCTAAATCCGTTACTTGATAGAATATCTTTAACATAAGAGGCCCAATTTTTTCCACCATAATTACGACCGGAGTCCGTGTCGGATTTGAGGAGAAGGTATGATTGTTTTACAATTGAGGAGTCATTCTGTTTAAGTATCTTTATCCAATATCGGAGTATATTTACTTTACGAAAAGATTTGTATCGGAACTCGACCTAATTCTCCATAAAGAGCTGCAAGATTCGTTGACTTTTTTTACACCCAGGATTCTACGCATAAATTTTGTATGAATTAGCTCGATATCTGGTGCATCGTGTAAACCCCAAACTTCTGAACTAAAATTTAAAATTGAACCTACTAAAGAATCGAATAGTTTACATTTCTGATAAACTGGTAGCTGTATGTGTCTAAAAACTGTAAAAAGGTTAAAAAGTGCATATGACGCATGTTGAGCGATTCCTTTTTTGTGTTCTATACCATTACCATTTTTGAAAAGTGTAATACAAAGATATTTAAAAGATTCGACGATATCTATTCGTGTGTTGTAAATAAAGAAATCATACTGGGAATGTCTGCCTTTTTCAAAAATCATGGCTTTAGTCTTAGCAGTATTAATTTTCAACCCCCAAAGTTGACAGTAATTTTGAATATCATTTAACATAAACTGTAATGTTTCGGGAGACTTAGCAAAAAGCGCCTGATCGTCTGCAAACAATATTAGAAAATCTTGAGCTCATTTATGGTAAAAATATCACTTAAATTTTTATTTATACAGTCGTTTATATCATTTACGAACAGCATGAAGAGAAGAGGTGAGCTCGGGTCCCCCTGTTTCAAGCCTATGTGTGTTTCGAAAAAGTCTGAAAATGAAGATTTATACTTTATACATGACTTAACCTTGTTATACATTGATTTTATTGCTTTAACTAATTTGGAACTAACGTTTTCAGTAAGTAGTTTCTGCCATAGGAAAGATCGGTCTACTTTATCGAAACATTTCTCATAGTCAATAAAGACACAGAAAAGTTTTTCACCCGAATCAAGCACTTTTGATATTACAGTGTGAAGAATGAAAATACAATCTATTACAGATTTTCCTTTTTGGAAACCAAACTGATTATTACACATTTTTTCATTATTTTCTACCCATTTAGTAAGTCTATTCAGTAGAATTTGAGAATAAATTTTTGCCAATATGTTTACTAGAGTAATTCCACGATAATTTTGTGTATCGTTTATATCTCCTTTTTTAAATATTGGTGTTATTATACCTTCTCCCCAAATCAACGGATATTCTCCATTATTGAATAGCCTATTAAAAAGTTTTAACAGAAATTCTGATATAATATCATACGATGATACAAGGAGCAATAAAAATCGTCAGTACACAGTGTGACAGGAACATTTGGTGCAAATTAGGAACAATTCAAATGGATAATGCACAGTATTAGTCATAAGTAGAATTATAAGAACCAGCAATTGTGTGAATAAATTATGCAAATGAGATTTTTGAGCAGCCAATAAAAATGTTTTGCATGCAGTTAATATTAGGCTATGATTACGATGTAAATAAATACCACGAAGCATCATACGTTGACAGACATGTAAACAATTTACTTTTCAAAAGAGTTGCTTATATTTTTGAAATGTGTACATCACTACTAACATATGTTCACACCTTTTAATTTGAAAATCAGAATCAAGCTGCAAAAATTTAATTACATGTACTATTAAGAACACGTTTTAGTAGGATTTAAATAATAATGATAATCATCGACGTTCAATAATTAACAGCCAATTATTCGTTGGTGCGTTTGTTTATTTAATTACATTATTTGATTGTGAAACTTTGTTAGAAAATAACATGTGTATTTATTAACTCTGTGAAATATCGTTTAATTACATTAAGATGAGACTTTAATGAACATGGCATTGTTTGGAGTAACGGGCATCACTGGCCTGAAGTGGTGCGACCGGTAGACGTTGATTTTTTATTTGTTTTTTTTTATTTGTTTTATTTTTTATTTTTTGATATTGTTACGTATTTTGAACAATAAAAAAATCGCCTCTACACCTCCTGTGAAAATTAAATTGTCTGGTCAATACTTTATTATGTAAATATTTCGCTACGATTCAACTAGATTTATCATAAATCTAAAGATGTGGGGAAATGACATCACGCGCACCTGTTTTTATACGGCCAATACACAAACATGGCCGCGCCTACTGATTTGTAGAAATCGGCGATTTAGCGATTTAAATTTCGTTATCATTCGTTTAATATTATTATTTGGCGGCAGAAAATTTGCAGATTTATTATTTATAGTATTCGTTTTCTGAAATCAAGTTTTTATTCTAACCTTGTTTTTCCCTTTTTAATAGTCAGCCTTTTCTCGCTTGCATGTAAAGAGCGTTAAACTTGCCGAACATATAGAATAAGAAGTTTTACGGCCTTAAATAAAATTGGATTAATATCTAGCTGATAAGCAGTTTTTCACAAATTTATGTGGTCGGCATGATTTTATAAAATATGTTTTCCTGAATGTAAAGAGCGTTAAATTAATTAATTAATGAACTAAACAATGAAACAATCTTTTTAGAGCTAATTCTTAATAAACTGTATGTAAAATTTACGGCCAAATGATCCACATTTTATTTATTTTTTTGTGTGATATATCCAAAGAGGGTCATTTGTGTTTTTCACACCATGCAATGGAATCTCAATCTGATTAAAGGGTAATAAAACTTAATTGATCGAACTGAACTTCTGTTAAGTAACATGTTAAGTAATTTATGACCAGTGATCATAATGTTTTCACAAGATTTTGGGGTGTGAACATACATTTGGGGCCAATCAGATATATGTTATTGATTCATTTTTTATTCCAATCAATTTATTAGCCGAATGAGAATTCCTTAATTCATTGGTAATTGAAAATAAGAACTGCATAAGCCAAACCCCGCCCAATTTTACAGCTAAATGATTATGGTACGGTCTAAAATAATGAATGAATGAATGAATGAATAGATAAATGAATGAATGAAACAATGAGTGAGTGAGTGAGTGAGTGAGTGAATGAATGCATGAATGAAAAAATGAATGAATGAAAAAATGAATGAATGAAAAAATGAGTGCACTCACTCACTCACTCACTCACTCACTTCATATATTTTCCGGAATATATATTTATTTATTTATTTATTTAAGTCTCATTCATGTACATACACAAATAAAATTCATAAGCAAACATAAAACACAAAAAAGTACATGACCATTCAATCATTGAATTATAAGAGACTAGTAAAACATTTATAATAACACGATAAAATATCATACTAATCATAAAATTATATCCAATTATAAATAGTAACTAACTACACAGTACAAAAAACTATAAATTAATGGAAAGAAATATACATTTATATATTTATATGATTTAAAAAAAACCAGTCGCTATTTTTTATTATTTCAAAGTAAGAAAAAAAAAAAAAAAAAAAAAAAAACATACATCAAAAACATAAAAAAAATATAAATATATAATATAAAAATACAGTAGCATGTTCTATATAAAATATATTATTTACATAAGTAAGATTGACGACGTTGAAGAATATTAAAACAGGTTTTGGCAATTTTCTGACTAATGGTTGACTAGAGAAACAAAAATGCAAGTTGGTTGTCTTTGCTAAAATTAATAAAAGAAGTTCGTGCAACACAGCCTTAGAGATTAATTCTGATCTAAAATCATCATATACTGGGCAGTCTAATATAACTGCTGTTCATCTTCAAGAACATTACAAAAAGGACAGTGGCGTTCATCTAATTCAGATTCTCGTACCTACCCGTTTTCGATACGAATAGGGGCTACCCCACACCTAAATTTACAAAACGCTGACCTATGCCTAGTGGGTAAGATCATTTACAGTACTCTTCTGACGTATGTTCCTGCTTAAAAGTTCTAATAGGTTTCTGAGCTTATTCAGACCCCTACCTGACGGGCCCACGTA